TTCCACGCAGTGCATGGTGGGAGGCCTGTGGACACCCTGGCTGCTCTTGCGCCCTGCAGCCCTTCCTGAGGGCTGACGTTGTGACCGGAGAACTCCTGTTGCCATCCCCACAGCAGATTTTTCTTCTTCCTCGCCATTTCCAGGCCTGACAAAGGAGAGGCGTGTAACCGGACGTGGCACTTTGATTACCGCGAGATTCTGGTAGGCGTTTTAATGGCATCACTTCTGTAGCACGTTGGACTGGAATGTTTCCTTCCTAAGAGCACCTTTCCTGGTCGTGTTTGCGCATTATGGGACCAGGGTTTTCAAGCCTGGTGTTTCTTAAGGGCCATCAATATGGAAAAGTATCCCAGAAATGAAGTCAGAATGAGCGTGTCTTCTCAGTCCAGGCCCAGCACAGCCCCTAAAGGGCACAGGTGTGGGCAGTGCAGCCTGCCTGTCCACTCCACCACCCGTGAGCTGCACCAATTCCCCTGATGCTTGGTCCAAACCCTTGGCAGAGGGCAGCACCTCTGGGCAGCTGTGATGTGGAGTGTGGGCACGTGGGGCCTGGCTGTCCCTGCTGGCTGGACCTGGAGTGGATTTCTAACTGGGACTGTGCGTAAGGAGGAGAAAGGCTTCAGGCCTTTTGTTCATACGGTCGCTGTGAGTCGTGCTCGACTCGAAGGCAGTCAATAACTACAAAACACAGGGGACGGTCCCTCTTCCTGTGCCTGGTCACCAACTGGAAGGCCCTGGGCCCTCGGGCCGTCTCACCTCCCTCCATCAGGCCTCTTCTCTGGTCAGGCTCCACCTGTTAGGTGATGTTCTGGCCAGAAAGATCCAAGAACAAGGAACAACATGTTGCCAGTGAGGTCCTGTCCCACTGTCCAGTGTCCCAGGTGTGGTCAGGAGCCCTGCCCTCGTGTGGCCCGTGATCACAGAGCAAGTCCTGTGCACCAGCATCACACCCACCGCGTAGGTGCTGATTCCAGCGGGTGTCAGGAGAAGGTGCATCATCCCACAGGAGCTTCTGTTAACTCACCCGGGACTGGAAGCCGCACATGAGGCTCTGAGGCTCCAGGCGCCTCCCCCATATCCCAGGCATTGGCCTTCAGTGCCAGGAAGGCAGGCCCTTCCATCCCCCCTCACCTCTTTCTCTCTGTCTCTCTTGTGTACATGTGCTCACACCCCCACCCAGACCCCTGTCCTTAGAGTGTGCCAGCAACTCCGCATGAAGGATCAGAGATCTGTCAGGTCCACAGCTCTCCCCGAGTGCTGGGCCCAGGAAGCCAGCACGACCTGGCCAAGAGTGTGTGGCAGTGGGAGCTGGGATGAGAGGTCCTGCGGGATTTGGGTCTTCCCAGGACAGCTGATAGGAAAGGGGACTGAAGGACAAAGATAACTGGCATTACAGGTTCTCGTCTGTGTGGCGAGCTCGGAGTCCCTTACCTCGTCTGCTCAGGGCAGTGCGCTCAGGCCGTGAGTCAGGGCCCTTCGGGGCTGCGGGGACTCTGGGAGCGGGCACTGCAGGCGCCCTGAAGCCTAGTTAGGGCCTTTCTCAATGACATTGTAACCCTGCACACCACCACTGGGTTTCTGCTTGGGTGTGTGGTCTTCACGTGGCAATAAGGATGAATTCATTCAGCCTGGACTTGTGGAGCACCTCTCATTGGCTCAGTGATTAAAGCACTTGACCTCTTCCCGAGAGGTGGACTGTTACCGCCCCAGGGGAGAGGTCCACTTGGTACCCCCAGCAAAGATTTAACTCTGGAAGCTTGATGGGCAGTTCCACTCTGTCCCGTAAGGTTGCTGGTGGGGTCAGAATTAACTCACTTGCAGTAGATTTTGGTTTTGGGTTTTACCATTTGCCTGAAGAATCAATCCTCTTTGGTGCAGTGGTTAAACACTTAGCTATTAAGTGCAAGGTTAGTAGGTCACACCCACCAGCCAATCCATAGGAGAACGGTGAGGCAGTCTGTCCCGTAAAGGCTTCAGCTTTGGGAACCCTGAGCCCTGGTTCCCTGTCCCGTAGGGCCCCCAAACCAGAGCTGGCTGCACCAGGTGGGGCCTGCGGCATGGAGGGGCCACCCCAGCGCCCCGCAGTTCTTCCTCAGGAGAGGAGAGCTCGGATTTCACATTCGTTCCCAGTGACACGTTTTTCTCCAGTATGTTGGGGGTTTATTATTTTACACTGTTTATATACAAAGTTCGTATATGTTGTTTTTCACACCAGACCCTTCTCACTTCCTTTACCCACTCCTCCCCTCCACCCATCGAATTCTGTGACCCTATGATTAACCCCTCCCTCCCACCTATCCTCACCCTTCTGCTCCCCCCACCCCCCTTTGGATCCTCATACACGTTCTACAATAATGGTTTTATACAGTATTTGTCCTTATGGGACTGAGTTAGTTCACTCAGCATAATGCTCTCCAGTCCCTCCCAAGTTAGGTAGTCATTTACAAAATCATTGCTCCTGCGTGCTGTTTAGTGTTCCATTATGCAAATGTACCATAATTTCACAATCCATTTGATTATGGTTGGACGTTTTGGGCTGTTTCCATGTTCTTGTGATGGTGAATAATGCTGCTGTACGATATAATGGTGTACAAGTCTCTGTTTGTGCCTCAGTTTTCATTCTCTCAGTGTATATTCCAAGCAGTGGAATAGCTGAGTCTTCTGAAATCTGTATGTTCAGCTTTCTGAGGAGACGCCAAACTGCCTTCCAGAGCCATTGTACCATTGTACAATCCCACCAACAATTTAAGAGTTCCTTTCTCTCCACATCCTCTCCAACATTTATTACTTTCTGTCCTGTTAAACTTTGCCACTGTTACTGGAGTGAGATGGTATCTCATTGTGGTTTTGATTTTCATCTGTCTTATTGCCATTGATTTTGAACATTTCTTTATGTGTCTGCTGGCCATCTGTGAAAATTCCTTTCATATCTTTTGCTCATTTTATAATCGTGTTATCAATCTTTTCCTTATGAAGGTCCTACAGGATTCTGTGATCTTTCTTTTATAACCCAATCATATAAAGACTTACTCAGTTTCTGCATGTGTGGTTGTAAGCTTGACTCTCCTGTGGTTAATTTCTAGTTTTATAAGGCATTGTGGTCTGAGAAGATACTTTGTATTATTTCATTGTTTTTTTTTATTTGTTGACACTTGCTTTATGTCCTAACATGTGATTGATTCAGGAGACTGTACCATGTGCACTTGAGAAGAAAGTGAACTGAGTTTTAGTTGGACTACAGCACCTTGAATACATTCACAAGGTCAAGTTGGCTGGTTGTATAGTTTAGATCTTCTGCATCCTTGTGGAGTTTCTTTTGAGTTGACCTATCCTTTGGTGATAGTGGAGTGTTCAAATCTACTACTGTGGTGTATTTCTTTCTTCAGTTCTGTTAACTGTTATTTTATGTATTTTGCAGGTCTTTCATTTGGTTCATAAATGTTGACCAAGGTTATGTCTTTTTGATCTGTTGTGCCTTTGATCAGTATATAATGCCTTTCCTTATCTTTTGTTGTGGTTTTCATTCTGAAATCTGTTTTATCAGAGGTTAATTAGTATTTCCACTCCTGCTTTTTTTGTGGTTAGCATTTGCTTGGTTTATTTTTTTTTTAAGGCTTTGATTTTGAGTCTGTCTTTCTCTCCATTTTTTTAGATGTGTTTATTGTAGGCAACATATTGATGTGCCTTGTGTTTTTATCCATTGTGCTACTCTTTTTCTCTTGATTGGCACATTTAGTCCATTCACAATTAAGTGTGGTTACTGTCAGGCCAGGTTTTACTTTTGCCATTTTGCTGTGTATCTTTTTCTGTTGTTTCTGGTTACGATGGTCCATCCACTTTTGGTGTCTCTGTGTGAAGGACTTCACTTAAAATTTCTTTCTGTTTTGGTCTTGTTTTCACAAATTCTTTAAGTTCCTTCTTTTCTACAAAGGATCTAATTTCTCTTTCATATGCCTCTCACTTATTTTTGTTTTTTAGAAGTGCTTTGCTTATTCAGGGTCTCTTTCCTCTCCAAATAAACGGAAAATTTTTCCTTTCTATCTCCTTAAACATGAATTTGGTATCTCTATTGGGATTGCATTGAATATGTAGAGTGCTTTTGGTAGGATTGTCATTTCCACAATATTGGGTTTTCCTATCCATGACCAGGGCACATTTTTTCATTTATTTACGTCTTTTATTGGGTCTAACAGAAATGCTCTGTCGTTTTCTTTGTTCCAGGTATGTCCTAAGAGACACCTCATACAAAAGCAACTCTCAGTCATTTTATTTGCAATTAATTACAAGAGCTAAATCCTCTTAACATCTTAGCTCATCTAAGCTGAATTGTGAGTTTTGTTACTGGATCCCGTGTGGCCATCTAAAGCTGCGTTTTCTGGGTCTGTCCACAGGATCTTCTCCCAGACTTGAAGATATACTGGCCGGATGTCCTTCACCACTCTCCTAATTGTACCACCTTCTGGTAAGTGTTCACTCTTAATGGCCATCAGGGGCCTTGGTTAACCAGTGGGGAGGGCTCTGTGCACCGGAGGACATGGGGCGTGGACACCACAGGATGTGAAGATAGACGACTCCAAGCCCGCCTTGCCAGTAAAAGCGGGTGCACGTTGTCCAGAGCTGGTTCAGCCAGACCGTGCTTGGGACCTGTCCCTGGGGATGACAGTGCCCAGGACGAGGAAGTGGACCTTGTCAGCTTGTTTTCTGACAGATCTGCTTTTCTGTCGTGTCTTGGTTCATAGAACAGCCTCCCGCAGCAATGTGGTGCTGATAGGTGCTGCGGTGTGAGTGCTCTAGTGGGTGCTGTACGTGTGCTGCACCGTGTGCCGTGTGTGTGCCACACTGTGTGCCGTGCAGGCACTGTGTGCCATATACCATGTGCTGCACCTTGCGCCATGTGTGTGCTGCACCGTGTGCCGTGTGTGTGCTGCACCGTGTGCCGTGCAGGCGCTGTGCCATGTGCCATGTGCTGCACCGTGTGCCGTGTGTGTGTGTGTGTGTGTGTGTGTGCGCGCGCGCGCATGCGCTGCAGTGTGAGGAGTGGTATAGGCATGACACTTGCAAACGTGCTGAATGAAGGAAGTGCCTCACAAGGGACACGTCGCATAGGACCCCAGGAATGTGGAACATCTGGTTTTGAGGTGCTGTCCCCAGTTGAAGCAATCCCAAGTACAGCAGAACAGACGCTGCTGGTCCTGCCCATCCTTGACACCCCTGTCCTGCTGAAGCCCATGGTGACAGCTTCTGTGTTTTGCCATCTCACTGAGGGTCTCCCTCACTTCACCGACCTGCACTTGTCCAAGCATGGTGTCCTCCTCTGGGAACCAGCTTCTCCTGATAATGTGTCCATTGTACAACAGGTGGACGCAGTCAGAACAGAACTCCAGGACTGGGGGGCAGGGAATGGGGGAGAGCGGACGCGTGGACATACTAACCTCCTGAAGGTCCAGGGTCCGTGGTGCTGACCGGACCACACGATGCATGTCCGTCCTGTGCTGCCCTCATGACCCCGGCACTGGACTGGCTGGTTTTCTGAAGCCAATAGCCAGGCCTTCCTTCTCACTCCATCTTTGTCTGGAAGTGACCCTGTCACCTGTTACTGACAGATGGGTGGTGAATGAGCTGTCGCCGGGGCCCAGGCCAGCTCCCGGTTCAGTACACGCCTTCACGTTTAGTGGGAGGAGCTGAGCTGAGTAGAGAAATCGTGCATTTGATTTGAGATGACCCCTTGCCTTTTCTGGGCCCTTCCGACCAGCTAGGGGAGCACTTAGCCTTCTGTGGCCCTGGCCCCGCTCGAAGTCTCAGACAAGCAGAAGGGTAACCCAGCCCTGGTTCATCACCGCCGGCTGAGGTCGCAGCGCCAACTCGCGTGGTCCCTGTGCCAGAGTAGAAAGGAGAGCCGTGCCTGCAGGATTTGTGGGGGTCGTCTTTTAGAGTGATAGAGTGAGACTCCAGGACTGTTTCCTCACAGCCTTGGTTGGACTTGAACCTTCAGCGTTTGGTAGCATTTGCGCCCCTATGGGCATGTGACAGAGGTTCCCTGTGGTCCATGGGCCCAGGTTTGTAGTTGGAAATCTCCCGTCGGAAGCAGAGGCAGATGTCACCGCTGGGGGTGGGTAGGAGGGTGACAGCTCCCCAGTGCTCATCCTGCCTCGTCTGTGTTTCCAGAACATTCTCCACAAACAGTGGCCCTGCTGAACTGAAGTCAGGGACAGCAGGGGGAAGCGCTCCATGCGGCGTGCCACAGGTTCTTGGACACGATTCCTTGGTTTCCTAGCTACCGTGCGAGGTCCGGCTTTCCTGAGCTGCAGGGAGTTGATCACACTCAACCAGCCCCCTTACAGCGGCTCCGCAAACACGTGCGTTTGAGCATGCGGTTGATTGATGCGCTGTTGATTGAAGATTCCCGAGAGCAGCGGGCGGGACTCGCCTGCATCTGCTCGCTGTGCCTCTTCTTTGCTCCCCCATCTCCCATCCCCCACGAGGTGGACCCAGGATTCCTGCTTTACGGAACTAGGAGGCGTCTCTGAATTATGCCCTTGCATGTTCCTTCCAACAGCGTGTTGTCCCGTAGCTGCCAAGAGAATAGACAAAGCTGACTTGAGGAAGAGCAACCGGGCCGGGATGGGGACATTTCCCCTCACTTCGGGTGTATTGTCACGAGGGGCTGGTCCTTGGAAAAGGACACGTTGCTGGGAAGGTGGTGAGTCACAGAAAGACGTACTGACAGAGGCTGGAACGGGGCTCGAGCCTGAGAGATTGTGAGGACGGTGCAGGCCGGGCAGGGCTCAGGTCTGTAGCTCGTAGCATGGCTTAGTCATGGTGGACCAGATGGCACCCCGCAACATCAGGGAGACCCTTCAGAAGACAGCCCCTGCCATCTGCGAACGGAAGGTCAGGGTCTGAAGGCCACCTCAGGGCTGTGCTGCTCTGGCCACACAGCTCGGCCAGGTCACAGGCAGCTGAGTGGCCGCTGACACCGCCATCAAGGGCTTGTGATCAGGGTTGTTCCCGGCGAAGTCGAGAGGATCCACTTTACTGTTGTGTCGAGAGCAGAAGCCTCTGAACGACTTGCTCTAGATCGCTCCTGAGCAGCCCACCTGCGCCCCTTTACATCTGGCCTCCGTTCAGCTGCCCAGGTGTGTGCCCAGGTCTGGACAGTGGTCTCCTGCACACTTGGATAAACACGGTTCTCTGGAGGGGTTTTGCCAGTGCGTTCGTGCAGGCTCGGTGGGTGTTGGAGAGACTGGAGTGCCGTGTGGCGGCTGTCGGTGCATGGGGTGTGTTCGTGGAGGATGGTAACGGGGTCGTGAGGCCTGGGGGTGCCGTTTCCGAGTGAGCGGTGCACCGTGGGGCGAGGGCCTGCCTGGGCTGCACCGCCTCCATGCTCGCAGGCCCTGCCGTGCGGAGCCCCCTGCTGCCCAGGCCTTCCTCTCCTGACTCATGCTAAGCACGAAGTCCTTCTCCGGGACGTAGCCCCCCGATAGGGGTGCTCCACAGTGTCTGTTTATGGAAAGGTCACGGGTTCACATCCTTGAGACAAAGGGGAGGCCTCGGGAACTTGGGGGAGTGTCCCCGTGAGCCAGGGCCCGTGTGACAGGCGTGGTGTTCTCTGAGGGCTGGGCACGCTGTAGTCAGCAGAATGTTGAGAGGCAGGGCAGGTGAGGAGAGTGCTGCTGGCCTGGGGTCAGGCTGCAGGCTGTGGCCCCCCAGGCCCTCTGAGTGGCCCTCTCCCTGTTTCGGGGCGCAGGGCCATGTCACTGCCATGCAGAGTCGTGAGGACAAAGAAGTGAAGCACGCAGAGCTGTCAGTGTGTCACCACCGGCATTGTCTCCTCAGACACACATGCTGCTGTTTGTGGGCCCTTGTCAGGATCCCTCTGTCCCCTGGGGCTCTGTTGTCGTCCCCTCGGTGAAGTGACAGAAGCTGTGCCGATTAGTGGCAGGCGGCCCGCCCTGTGAGAGGCTCCACGGTGACCTGTTCCACCGTTGCCGTGCTGAGTCGTGACAAGGGGCAGCTCCTGGGCTCCTGGCATTTGTGCCAGCTCTCTGCATGGCAGCAGCGGCTCTGGGAGCGGTGGGCATGCGCCCCGACATCTGCTCCCCTGCTTTCTCGAGGATTGAGCAGGCTGTGAGCGTGGGGTGGACGGGGTGCATCACTTCAGGGTGCGGAGTCTCCTGCTCACGGTCCTGAGGCTCAGGGTCCAGAGGTTGTCCCCCTTTCTTCCTGAGGGAGCCAGCGCCCACCACGGGGGCCCAGCCGCATGGCTGCAGTCGGGTGCCCTCTCTCCCCACAGGAAGCACGAGTGGGACAAGCACGGGACCTGTGCCGCCCAGCTGGACATCCTCAACTCGGAGAAGAAGTACTTCGGGAAGAGCCTAGAGCTGTACCGGCAGCTGAGCCTCAACAGGTAGGAGGTGGACGGCCCCACGCCAGGGACAGGACGCTCACGCACGCCCATCCTGCCCTGTGCAGTGCTCAGTGCCCTGCTTATAGCCCAGTCTATCACGCACACCCATCCTGCCCTGTGCAGTGCCCAGCCCATCACACACGCCCTTCCTGCCCTGCCCAGTGCCCAGGGCCCAGCCCGTCACACACACCCGTCCTCCCTCCCCTGCCCAGTGCCCAGTGCCCAGTCCATCACACACGCCCATCCCAGTGCCCAGCACCGCATGTCCAGCCCATCACGCATGCCCTTCCTGCCCTGCCCAGTGCCTAGGGCTCAGTCCGTCATGCACACCCATCCTGCCCTGCCCAGTGCCCAGTCCATCACGGACACCCATCCCCATGCCCAGTGCCCAGGGCTTAGCCCATCACGCACACCCATCCTGCCCTGTTCAGTGCCCAGTGCCCAGCTCATCACGCACACCCATCCTGCCCTGTCCAGTGCCCAGCACCCAGTGCCTAGCCCATCATGCACGCCCATTCTGACCAGTGCCCAGTGCCCAGCTGGGCCCTCAGGGGAAGCCTTGGCTATGCCAATTGGAGTCCCATGAGGAAATCACCCTCGGACAGTGATCGTCAGCACCCACTCGAGGCCAGGCGTCTCTCCTAGGCGACCAGTTGTCCTGGGAGTGGCTGTGTGTCAGGACAGCACTGTGCCCGTGTGCTTGTCAGTGACTAACCGCCGGGAGCTATGCACCTGGCCATCCCTCCGTGCCACCTCTGGGTGGACTGTGGCCTCCAGCGGTTTGGCCAGTAGCCACTTGGGTTAACCGTTTGCACCGAGCTAAGACCCTGCCTCCCCGAGTCCTAACAAGTCATCACACAGCCGAGCCCGCAGGAGTAGGAGCCCAGACAAGAGCGGAATCGTTCTCCGCTGTAAAGTCTGACGAAGTGACACTGCATAGCTCACGCCGGGAGTTTCCCCAGAGACCAAATGAGGGCGTCTTTTGATCGTTGAATAATGTTCCCAGGGAGCAATAAAGAGGTGTTGGACTCGACGCCTCGAAACTACCTGAACGGTGGCCTCTTGCTCACTGTCCACCTTGGGGCTGTGGCAGGTGGACACCAGATTTCAAAGGCTTTGTGCCCAGAAAAATATCAAACAACTCAGTATTTTTATGTTTATTATATAATGATGACCATGGAGCAGATGAACTGTCGGGTGACATCAAAGATTTCATATCTGAAAGCAAAGTGTCGGTTAAAGGGCAGGCGGGAGAGAAAAGGGCAGAAGCTGTTTGAGGAGATTGTGATGCTTGTCCTTGAACACGAGGGATTAAAGTGAAAAGCGGAGAGGAGGTAGGAAGAGGTCAGCAGAAGATCTGGAAGGACAGTGTGGGAAGGCGAGGGGAAGCGCTGTCCTGAGGGGTGTGGACCCCGGAGTGGTCAGCCAGAAGGGAACAGGTGCTCAGCACTTCTCACTGAGAGGCCGGGGGCGGGAAACGGGGGCCTCGACTTACAGACAGGGTGACAGCAACACAGGAGGCGTCAGAAGATGAAAGGAGCGTGCACTCAGTGGACCAAAGAGAACTGTTGATGTTCACCCCCACGGGGCACCTCACCCCTACAGGAGGTTCACCCCTATGGACAACTCACCCCCACAGGACGGCTTACCCCCACAAGGTAGCTCACCACGACTGGACAGCTCACCCCCACGGGGCAGCTCCCCCCATGAGGCGGCTCACCCCACAAGATGGTTCACCCCCACGGGGCAGCTCCCCCCCCCCCGTGGAGCAGTTTACCCCCATGAGATGGTTCACCCCCACGAAGCAGCTCACCCCCCACAGGGCATCCCACCTCCACGAGGTAGCACGTCAACAGGAACCCACGGACCTGAAGGAGGCGGCCGAGCTGCACTGGTGAGAGCCAGCCATGCTGGACGGATTTCCGCGAGATGTTTCCACAAAGGGATTGAATAGTACGAGTGCTTCCCCATCTACACCAGGAAACTCGAGGACAGCCACCTGCCCACCCACCACCCACAGAATCCTGCCCGTTTACAAGAAAGATGAGCTAACAGAACATGGGAATTCTCAGATAATATCACATTCAAGGAGAGTTTGGCTATGGAGAATTTAAAAATGGCTGGAACTGCCAGAAATTCAAGGTGGATTCCAAAGAGGCCGTGGAGTGAGGGGTTTCTCTGCCAAGGTCAGCTGGTCTCGGGTGGCACAGAAGGCACCAGAGGAGGTTGCCATGTGTTGTATTGGCTGTGCAAAGGCCTTTGTCTGGTCATGAGAAACCTGAATGATATTGCTGAGAATGGGAATTCTAGAACACTTACTTGTGCTCCTGTGGAGCCTGTACAGAGATTATCAAGCAGTTGTCCAGAAAGAACAAGGGGATTCTACTTGGTTTAAAATCAGGGCTGGCACGCCTCCGGAAACTCCATGGACTTCGGTAAATGTCGATCGTTGTAGAGGGGCTTCAGGCCTTTTGTTTGTTTGTTCATAGGGTCACTATGAGTCGTGCTCGACTCGAAGGCGATCAACAACAACATCCTTTCTCCGTACCTGTTCAGTCTGTACGCTGAGCAAATAATTTTAGGTGCTGGACTCTAAAGAATATGGCATCAGGATCGGGGAAGACTCATAAACAACCGCGTTATGCACATGACGTTGCCTCGCTTGCTAAACACGAAAAGGACTTGAAACCAATAATGAGAATAAAAGAACAGAGCCTTCCTGTGGTTACACTTCAGTATGGAACAAGAATCCTCCTAATGGGACCAGTAAGCAGCATCTTGGTTCATGGAGAAAAGCTTGAGGCTTTGAAGGGCCTCGTTTGACTTGGGTCCACAGTGTGCACCCTGGAAACGCAGTGAAGAGAAACGCCGTGTGGCCTTGACCGCGGAGGAGACGTTCCTGTGAGCTACGAGGTGCCCTTGGCATTGCCGCCCGTTCTCTGTCGGCTCCTGCTGTCTCGTCCGGGCTGCCACAGCAAAGCACCGTCCAGGCCGAGGTGGGCAGCCCAGAGGCAGGTGGCCGATTTCCAGACATCAGGCCCCCCAGCCCTGGAAGCTCCTTGTGCGGCAGCTCAGGGGGGAGACTGCAGACCTTGCCGGGCTACATCCGAGCTGTGGCAGAGAGACGGGGCCCTGGAGCGTCTCCCTGGGCTTTGAGGAGCACCTGGGGCTCCTGAGTGCCTGTGGGCGTGTGTGCCTGCAGGGGTGTGCGTGTGCACTCACATGTGTGCAGGAGGACCCTATTCCTCACGGGTTCATGTTACACTCACCAACCAACTGCCTTTTTACGTCTTAGTGGATACGGAGTTGTGCTGTCAATCCAAGGGCAAGCGATTCGAATCCACCAGCAGCTCCGTGGGGGACAGATGGGCAGTGTCGTCCTGTGCTTCAGCTTCTGAAAAGTTGCTGGGGAGTCGGCTCGGGGTCCGTTCTGACCGGACAGTGAGTGGGTTGGCAGTTGATGTTACTGGCTGCATGTGCTGTATTGAGGGAGTTCACGTGTAGTACTTCCAACCCACAAAGATAAAAGCATTGAGTTTATAAAGACAAGGAAAATGAAAAATTCAGAAAGCACTTATGCCAGAACCATCTCACCAGAGTCACCGAGTGGATGCCTGTTGTCAGCTGGGACTAACTGGCCACAAACGGCGAGTTGATTGACAGGTGGATGGATTTTAAGCACTTGTGTGTGATGTGATTGTGGGACTAGCCGTCCCAGGCCTGCAGGGCTGACCTTCTGGACACCTGGAGGCCACCTTCTCCTGGGCACATGCTTGTCCTGAAGGCCTCCCGTTTACTGGGTGCCGCCCAGGTTGTGAGAGGAACCAGCTGGGGTCATCTGACTCATATGTGTTCTGTGTAAACACCTGCACGCCTCACCACACGAGGGCTCAAACAGCTAGCCTTTCAGTTAGGAGCCCAGTGCCTAACCCCCCTACCGCCGGCGTCCCTCACAGCAGCGGGTCAACTGCCGTGGGACCCAGCAGCTGGGCACTGGCGCCTGGACCAGCTGACAGCCAGGATGAACCCTCGTGTTGCTAGAGACGGTGCTGGAATGTGGACCAGACCTGTTAAGGTCACGTGTGATGGTTGCGGGGCAGGTGGTGGTGACCACTTGTTGTTACTGTTGTTATGTGTCACCAAGTCACCTGCAAGTCATAGCCATCCCATGGACTTTAGCTCTGAACCCTGCCCTGTCCGGAGCCAATCTCATCTTCTCCGACAGACCTAGTCCCAGTCCTCCAGTCACCGAGTCAATCCATCTCATCCTGGGTCTTCCTCTCCTGTGCTGTTCTACTGTTCCAAACATGATGTCCTTCTCCATGTGGTCCCTCCTGGCCACATGCCCGAAGTATGTGATATGGAGCTTTAAAATCCTTGCCTCCAGGGAATAGCGTGGTTTCACCCTCTCCAGGACAGATCTGTTTGTTCTCCTGATAGTCCATGGTATGTATGTTTTAACACTTTCCTCCAGCACCACGACTCAAAGGCATTGATCCTTCTTCTATCATCCTTAGTCATTGTCCAGCTCTCCGATGCATAGCAAGCAACTTCAAAGACCTTGGCCTGGATAAGGCACACCTTAGTCTCCAGACTGACATCGTTGCTCTTCAGTACTCTAGAGAGGTCCCTGACAGCTGACTTTCCCAATGCAGTTTGTCTTTTGATTTCCTAACTGCCGGTACCAAGAGTGTTGATTGTGGAACCAAGCAAACTGAAGTTATCAACAATCTCAGTCCCTTCCCTGTCCATCTGCCAATTGGCCCAGTGGTGAGAATCTTTGTCTTCTTGATGTTGAGCTTTAATCCATATTGAAGCCTTCAGTCCTTGACCTTCAGCAGCAAGCACCTCAGGTCAGCTTCAGTTTCAGCAAGCAGGGTTGTGTCATCTGCTTTAGTGCAGGTTGTTGATGAGTCTTCCTCCAATCCTTATGCCACACTCCTCCTCATACAGTCCAGCCTCCTGAATGATCTGTTGGGCGTATAGATTGAAAAGGTTTGGAGACAAGATGAATCCTTGACATACGCCTTTCCTGATCTTAAACCATGCAATGTTTCCTTGCTCTGTTCTGACCACTATTTCCTGATCCAAGGTTTCACAGGAGCACAATCAAGTGTTCCTTGGATTCCCATTCTCCTCAAGGTTAACCACAATTTGTTGTGATCCACGCAGTCGAATGTCTTTGCATAGTCAGTGAAACACAGGTAGACATTCCTCTGCTGCTCTCTGCTTTCAACCAAGATCCAGAATTCCTCTGCTGAAAATGAACCCCTTTCACAAACACCCCCAGGAGCCGTGTCAGTGCAGGCAGCTCAGTGGGCAGTGCGGCGGGCAGTTCAGTGGGCAGCTCTGTGGGCAGCGTGGGGAGCAGTGTGGTGGGCAGAGTTGGAGCTCCCCCCCACTGCAGCTCCATAGACAGTGCTGGCCAGCTGCCGCCGAGCTGACCACAGGCCCGGGCAGCTCTGGTCCATCCCGCAGGGTCACTGTGAGTCAGCATTGGCTCACATGACAACAAGCACGTTGCCTGCTTTCCACACAGACGTGTGTAGACAGAACAGAGACCGTGAGCCCTCACTTTACAGCTGTTCTCTTTGAATTTAAATCCTAGTGTGCTGCGCAAGTTGGGGATAAAGCCGTCCACCAATTACTACGAGGTAAGTCTACCCCTGGCCATCAGCCACGTTCACTCATGAGCGCCACACAAGCCCGTGATGCTCTCTGTTCCAGATAATTCACCAAGGCTCTGTGTCCTGCTGACACAGTGTGTAAAGTGGTGTGTGAGTCAGCTGTTGGACAGAGGCTAGAATGGGGGTGGGGGTGGAGGTGGATCTCAGGTTCTAGGGGACGGGGGTATATGTCCCAGGCTCTGGAGGTGTATGTCCCAGGTTCTGAGGGGGTGTGTCCCAGGTTCGGGAGGCGTGTCCTAGGTTCTGGAGGTGTGCCCCAGGTTCTGAGGGTTTATGTCACAGATTTTGGAGGGAGTGTATGTCCCAGGTTCTGGGTAGGGGTGGCGAACGTCCAGGTGTAGGGAGAGTGTCCCTGTATTGATGGCAGCACGGTGAGCTGGCAGGGAGAGGTGCAGACGGGGATGGGAGCGTGTGTCTCTAGGAGGACAGCTGGGTTCGGATGGAGACTGTGTGCTCACATCTCAGGTGAGGCTAGTGCCCGTGGGTGCCAGGCAGACAGTGCTGGCCGTCAGTCCTGCCTGTGGATGTAACATGCCTGCCATGCTGGGCTCTCCTGTGGGGCCGCCTCATACTCTGCCTCTGTCCCTCAGGTGGCGGACATTAAAGACGCCCTGGCCAGCGTGTACGGAGTGGTGCCCAAAGTGCAGTGTCTCCCGCCCGCTCAGGTAACCCAGCCACGTCCACCTTCCCGTCTGTCTGAAAACCATCTTCCTTTCCTGAAGCACTTGGCTTCACTGTGTGCACCATGGGAGGTGTGTGTGCATGAGTGCAGCGTGCCGGGACATGAGTGTGAGCCGGGTGTGTACACGTGCAGTGTTCCAGGATGTGGGTGTGAGCTGTGTATTTACACACTAGTGCAGTGTGCCGGGACATGAGTGTGAGCCGGGTGTGCATGAGTACAGTGTGCTGGAATGTGGGTGTGAGCTGTGTGAGCAAGTGCGTGGAGTGTATGAGTAGATGGTGTGTGTCAAAGTGTGAGGTGTGAAGTGTGAAGATGAGTATGGTGTGTCTGAATGTGTTTTCTGTAAGCAGCTGTGTGTCATGTGACTGGATGTGTGCGTGGGGTTGTGTCTAGTGGGGACTGTTTGTGGTGGGTGTGAAGATATTTGCATGTTTGTGGTGTGTGTTTATGCTGTGTGTGTATGTGGGTAGGCATGCATAGTGTGTCATGGGTGTGGATGTGTGACGTGTGTGTGGGTAGGCGTGTGTGCTGTGTCACAAATGTGTGTGTGTGTGAGCATGCGTGGTGTGTCATGGATGTGTGTGTGACGTGTAGGTGTGTGTGGTGTGTCGCGGGGGTGTGACGTGTGTGCGTAGGCATGCATGGTGTGTCACGGGGGTGTGTGGGTGAGCATGTGTGGTGTGTCACAGGTGTGTGTGTGTGTGTGTGTGTGTGTGTGTGTGTGTGTGTAGGCGTGTGTGGCCCACCATGGGGGTGTGTGTGACGTGTGTGTGATGCGTCATGAAAGTGTGTGTGTGGTTAGGCATGCGTGGTGTGTCATGGGTGTGTGTGTGGTGTGTGTGTGTAGGCATGTGTGGCGTGTCATGGGTGTGTGTGATGTGTGTGGATAGGTGTGCGTGATGTGTCACGGGAGGTGCATGTGACGTGTGTGTGGGTAGACACGCATGGTGTGTCACGGGGTGTGTGTGTGGTAGGCGTGTGTGCTGTGTACAGATGTGTGTGTATGAAGGGGGGTTAACACCAAGGCGCAGTGTTCCAGCGGCCAGGTTCTAAGCCTCGTGACGTGACTACATTGTTAGCCTTGTGATTTCACTGCTTTTATCTGCGTATAATGTGTAGACAGATACATTCTTTTGACAGTAGGTGCTGTAAACCGTCTTCCCACCCTCTTGTCTGAAATGCCATCATACGGGGCCTGGGAGATGGGGACGTGGGAAGTCCAGTCTCAGGTGTCAGACCCCTGCCCTTCCAAAGCCCCCCTGGGCTCCTTTCTCAGCCTCTGGTGGCCAGTGGCCAGGTGTCCTGGGCGTGGGACAATCTGCCCATGGAGTCTGGATCCTTGCTTAGTGGTTACAGCCAAAAAAGTGGTCACAGACTCCACGTCCAGCCTCCCATCTCCATCCCCACGCCTGGTCTCCATCCTCACATCCCTCCTCGTGTTTGTCCCCACGTCTCACCTCCTGTCCCTGACCCATGTCTGTGCACCACATCTGACCTCCCCAGAATGAGAAGGTGCAGATCATTGGCCAGATAGAGCTGTGCCTCACCAAGGAACTGCAGCTGCGGAACTGCTCCGAGCCCGGAGACCCGGCTCCCCTCCAGGCCAGAGTCCGGCGAGAGTCGCACCACCTGCACGTTTGTGAGGATGGCCCTGTCTTCTACCCCCCGCCCGAGGACACCCCACATTGATGCCCCACAGTGGACATCGCCCAGGGAGGAGCACCACCACCTCCTGGCAAGCTCCCGGAGGATGGTGCCCATGGATGGGACAGCGCCTGTGGACAGGATGCCACCTGTGCACGGGACAGCGCCCATGGACAGGACGGCACCTGTGGACTGCAGCGTCCTTCAGCCCCCTGCTTTGTTCTCTGGCTCTGTGTGTTGCGTGTCCTCTGGGTCCCTGTAACTGTGGGTGAGCTTTGAGAGCAGTTGGAGGATGGGACCGACTTGCGCCCATGTGACTGCTGCGTGGTCAATAAAATTTCGGGCATCTTGGCCCCTGGGGGAGCTCCTGCCTCTTTGCGGGGGAGGGGGGGTGTCTTGTGGTCAGGTGTGGAGCCTGGCACGTGGCACCACAGGGCGGGAGGGTAGGTACTGGCCAGACTCCTTGATGCAGGCACGTGGTACTGGCCAGATTCCTTGATGCAGGCACGTGTCCACACCAAGGAGACCTCCTCACAGAACATGTGCAGTTTCTTTCTGCACACTGCCAGGGCGCATCTCCCGGGGGACAGCTGCTGTCCTGGGGCTGGACACCCAGCATGCACAGCTCGCTGACCTCTCCAGGCCGGCCTGTCTGTTCCCCCGGCTGTGCGTGCTGGCAGGGAGCAGGGCCCTCGAGGGGTAGAGGACAAGGGGACCTCCCACTGAAACTTCTGCAAGTGTGCACAGGTTCACACAGAATCCCCCTCTTCCTCTTTGACCAGAAGGTGTAGAGATGGCGCAACACCAAGCAGCAGGGCTTCCTTGGCCAGGCTGTGACGGAAGCCGCTCTGCTTACCCTACACCCACCCTCCTCTCCCGAGTCCTGAAGGCCCCCTCCCCTGGGCAGCTGTGCCGACCACATTGTTCTACCTGAGGGGCTGGAGTTGCCCGAGACTCTGGCCCCTGGTCAGTCTTAAACTCCTGCTGTTTCCGGCCACACACACATAGGGTGTCCTTCCTCAGACGTCCTCAAAGGGTGTCCTCTGTCCTCCAGCATAGAGTAACCTCTTGTAGAGGGAACAGCAGGATTTCTGGTGCTGCTGAAGTGGGTCAGGGCCTCGGGGGCTGCAGGAAACCACGTCCAGCTGCCCTGGTGGGCCCCTGTTGACAGTGAGGACCTTGCTGGCCTGAGACTAGCCACCACCTCCACACCAACAGCTGTCGTGTGTGCGGTCAGCAGGAGCTGACTGGGTGGCAGCCGTGGCCACACCAGTGTCCTGTGGAGTGAGGGCCTGGCTTTGTGAGAGCTGAGGACCATCTCCCCTGAGCCACTCTGCTCTTCAGAGCTCTGGTGGCCGATGGCTAAGGACTTGCACTGCCAACCCAAAGGCAGCTGGTTCGAATCCACCAGCTGCTCCTCAGGAGACGGATGGTCAGTGTCCTCCAGTGGGATTTCCAGCCTCTGAAGCTGCTAGAGGGTCAGCGCTGACTTGGGTCCAACCTGACAGAACCAATCCTAAACCACAAAGGGACAGTTACACGGGACCACAGTTTTTAAAAGTCAGGAGAAGGTTCATACACCAAAAGAGGCCTTTGATGGTTGTCAGGAGGAGGAAGAGGTGCTAATTCCACTAATTAGAGAGTAGCTGTCACGATGTGAGCTATGGCTCACGATGCCCGTGTGCCAGCGGACACGAGCCCTGCCCCATCCTGTGCCGTCCGCACCAGTCCCCACACTCAGGCCCGCTGCTGCGGCCACTGTCCGTCCATCCTGCTGACTCTGCCTTCCCCAGCGTGAGGTCTGTCAAAGAACTGGCCCGTCCTGACAACTCGGTGAGGACGTGAGGCAAGTCTCGCCACCCTGCCCTCTGAGGGGCACCCGGCTTCACTTCCGCCAGGACAGACTTCTCTGTTCTTTTGGGGGAGTGCGGGATGGGCTGTACTCCTCTCCAGCACCACAGCTCAGGACACGTACTTCCTCTGTCATCGTTCGCCATTGTCCAACTTCCAGATGTGTCGGTAACAGCTGAAAATGCCGTGATGGGGGCCAGGGGCACTAGTGAGTCTGACATGCCACCAAGTTGACCGTGACCCTGTGAACGGTTACAGCTCTGGACCCTGCCCCGTCCCGAGCCACCAAGTCGACCGTGACCCTGTGAACGGTTACAGCTCGGGACCCCACCCCGTCCCGAGCTACCAAGTCGACCGTGACCCTGTGAACGGTTACAGCTCTGGACCCTGCCCCGTCCTGAGCCATCTCACTGTCTGCCTCCCGTGACCCCATTGCCACAGTCACTGAGTTAGTCCTTGTCCAGGGTCTTCCTCCCCTGCTCTGTCCCTCTGCCCTTCCCAACCTGGTGTCCTTCTCCAAGGACTGGTCCCTCTTGACAACATGTCCAGAGGATGTGAGCTGGTGTTTCACCATCCTTGCCTCCCAAGGAGCACTTTGGTTTCACTTTCTCTAGGACAGACCTGTTCGTTCTATTGGAAATCTGTGGCATATATGATACTCTTCTCCAGAACACACTCAAACGCATTGATTCTTCTCCTGTCGTCCTCAGTCCTCGTCCAGCTTCCAGATAAAGTGAGTGAAAAGACCATGGTCTGTATCAGATGCACCTTAGTCTTTATACAGGCATCACTGCTCTTAGCACAGGTATTAATCTGGGTGAATGGAAAGGGGAGGCCAGCACAGCATGACCAAGGTGAAGGAAGACACTGGGCAGTAATGAGCAAAAGGTCCCAGGTAAGGACTATCTCCCAGTGCTGCGGGAACAGTACACACAGGCATTTATGAGGAGAGGCGTGTGCACATGTGTACGTGGCAGTCATTTCCGAGTCCATGTCCGGGGCGCATGCACGTGGCTGTTCATTTATGAGTAGATTCATACCCGGATATGCACTGGCATAGATGTGGGGTGGCCAGTGCTGGCCACACACCCTAGGTGTAAACATCCAGATCAACAATGCAGCATTCAGGGGCCAAAGTTGTAGGAACTTTGTGACAATCAAACCCACTGATGGGCTGAGGCCCTTGTCTGAGGGCTTGGGACCACAGTGTCGAGGGCCAGCCAGGCCAGTTGGTACACCAGCTCTTGACACCTGCATCAGTGTGACGGGAACTCTGACGGTGGGACAGGATGGGCCAGGCTTGGGTCTCTTGTCTGTAGGATCCCTATTTTTAGAGTTGAGGTTGGCTTGCTGGCACCTGGCAGTGACAGTGTTTGTTGTATAGTGACAATATTCTATGTCCTTCCCACCACTGTGAGTGGCCACTCACGTGTTAAAAGCACACAAGACACAGCTACTGATTTTTTACTGTCTAGAGCGGAGAAAGGTGAGGAAAAGGAAAGACTCAGGTGTTTGTTGCAGAGGACAGATGGGCCGCAGCCTCCACCACTTGGAGGTTGGAAGAACTGGGAGGGGCCCAGCAAGGCTTGTGGACTGCTCCGATCAGGATCACAGCAACCATCTAGGACAGAGGGAGGAAAAGAAAATGTAGAACCAAATGAAAAATACTCAAGAAGACCACACTTAGTGCAGTGGTAGGGCCTGGTGGACCCCTGCAGGCGTGGTCCTTCCACACCTTTCAACCCTGGCACGGAGCTCACCTCTGCAGGACCTTGCAGCCACACAGTAGACCCAAAAGTGTTGATAACATCTGTGAGAAATGTGCCGCCCAAAACAGTTAACCACACATGACAGAAGGGCAGCATTTGCCCAAAATAAAAGTTCAGAAAACATTAAAGAGAGAAGAATGGATGAGTGGAAACCAGACACCCAGAGGGGAACTGTGAAGAGTGCTGCTGCGTTGAGGGGGTTGCAAACCACTGATGTGAAACAAAACGGTACAGATTGTTGAATGGGAAGCAAATCTGCCGTTTTCCTCCCAATCACAATAAGGTCCTAGATGTGACCTGTGACATTGAGGTTCACTCTGACACACGTGAGTCACCAAGGGGCAGAATCCATTCGCGCTTGTTGAAACCAGCTCACACCCTTAGAAGACGCCCTCATGGTGCATCGCTGTGAACAGTGATGCTGTCAGGAAGAACTGGGTTTTCCTTCTTGTTCAGTGGCTGCTGGCCGCTAACATGGAGGAATGACCACGTCCAGCATCACAAACTCACACCCTGCTTCCCATCAGAGCACATGCTCATTTGGTTCCCTTGTAGCATGGTGGAGGTTCCAGAGGCTGTCGGCCAGGCAGAACAATCTACTCCTACAGCCTCTAGAAGAAAATTATAAGGACAACAGCTGAAATAAATGAAATGTTGTTGTTGTTGTTGTTATGTGCCGTCGAGTCGCCTGCGACTCATAGCGACCCTATGTCGCTCTGTCCTGTGCCAATCGCACTGTCTCTGACACTTCCATCCCAATTATCCCAGTCACTGAATCAATCCACCTCATAGAGGGTCTTCCCCTCCTGCGCTGTCCCTCCACCCTCCCAAGCATGATGTTTTTCTTCAAGGACTGGTCTCTCCTCACAACATGTCCAAAGTATGTTAGACGGAGCCTCAGAATCCTTGCCTCCAAGGAGCCACCCGGTTTAACCCTTTCCAGGACCTATAAATGAAATAGAAAACAAAAATAGTTGAAACCATCAATAAGACCAGGAGCTGGTTTTTTAAAAAGGGTCAATAATTTAACAAAAGGGAAAAAAGAGAAGACACAGATAACTCGCTTAAGAACTGATAGAGGTCACATCACAATAGAACCAGAAGAAATTAAATCAGTATCAGAATCCTGTGAAAAACTATACTCTGATAAACTAGGAAACAGGAGAAATGAACAAATTCCTTGAAACACATCCCTTATCCAGACTGACAAGGAGAGATATAGAACACCTGAACAGATGCATCACAAGAGAAGAAATTGAAAAAGCCATAAAAAGACTTCCCCATTAGAAAAGGTTTGGACCAGATGGCTTCACAGCTGAATTCTACCAAACATTCAAAGAGGATTTAGCACCAATTCTACTTATATTATTTCAAAAACTGGAAAAAGAAGGAAGACTTCCTGAGTCATTGTATGAAGCAAATATA